GGGGGGGGGGGGGGGGGGGGGGGGGGCTTAAGGGGGGGCGAGCCAGCGTGGCGCTTTCCTCTCCCTGCCCAAACCTGCCCCCCTCCAAGGCAGGCACTGACCGTGGGCCAGGCTCCCCCGGCGGTGCTTCCAGTCGCTGGGCAGAGTGGCGTTGCAGTCGGCCCCGGGCAGTCCTGACCAGTCTCGCTCCAGACTCTGCCGGTTGGAGAGAACAAGGCTGGTAAGGGTTGGGGGAGGGGAAGCTCCTGAATCAGGCAGAGCGGGAGGAAAAGGGGGCCACCCGTCCCAAGAAATAAGGACATCCGGTGAGAAACGGGGGAAGGAGGAAGCCGGAAGCCAGGAATCCTTAGGGAGACCGTGCATATTAGAGGGCAAGAAAGCAACAGCTCTGGACGCCCCCCCTGCCCCCCCCGCCTCTTCATGTCCAGGGAGGGACCCCCCCTTATCAAGGGGAGAGAAGGGTGACTGGGGGGGGGGGGCTGAAGGAGGGGAGCCTCACCTTGCCAGGCTGGTCGGAGCTGCTTGGGATGGCGAAGGTGGGGGTGCAGGGCGAGAGGGTGTGGTAACTGGGGTTGGAATAATAATGGGTGTAATTCGGGGGCACATCTGGAAAGACAAGAGCCGTTGGCTTGGATTCGCATTCTTGGAAAGGCCCCGTGGTTCGCACCCGTGTCCACTCGGGCACAGAGGTTGGCACACTGTGGTTGCCTCTCCTCTTTCAACTTGGTCCCTGCCCGCCCCCGTGCCCAGCCCCAGCTCACCAGGTACGACATACTCCGAACTGTCCGTCCTCCCTGTGGTGTAGGCCACGGAGACGTGTCGCTTCTCCTTCTCCTTCTGACACCGCCGGTAGCAGAAGAAAAGCACCAGCACGGCTGCCAGCAAAGCGGCCAGGATGATGATGCCAATCACGGCCCCCAAGGACGGGTTGGCAGCTGGCAAAGCGGGCACCATGGTGAGCGGGTGATCGGGGCGGCCTGTGAATCATTCCATGGAGGAACACGGCAATTCGGACCCAGATTCAGGAACCAGGGGTCAGCCCCGCCTGTCCAGAGACCATCCTGCCACATCGGTGCCCTCTGGATCAGGGGTCTCCAAACTTGGCAACTGTAAGACTGGTGGCCTAACTCCCAGAATTCCCCAGCCGGCACCAGTTGAAGCCCAGAAGTCCTAAAGCGGCCAGGTTTGAAGAGCCCGGCTCTGGATGGTCAAAGCTCCAAGAATGCAATTTCTGCCAGAGGGGGGCCCTGGCACACCCCCTGGCACACCCCCTGGCACACTTTTCCCTTTGAGGATGGAGCGTCCCTGTCAATCTCACCTCCAGGAAAGGACGGGAGAGAAAGAAAGAAAGAAGGAAGGAAGGGAGGAAGGAAGGGAGGAAGGAAGGAGAGGAAGGAAGAAAGAAAGAAAAAGAAAGAAAGAAAGAAAAGGAAGGAAGGAAGGAAGGAAAAGCAGCCCCCCCCCATGCCTGGTTCTTTTCCCTTTGTTCCTTCCTGTGCCTCAGAGCCCTAGAGAGGATTCTGCAGAGGGCGGCACAGGACGTCACACTTACTGGTCTCACAGTGGGCACCGGTGTAGCCTGAGGGGCACGAGCAGGACCCCGTCCCTGGGTCACAGAGGCCCCCATGCTGGCACTGGCACCGGGAGGTGCAGTTGTTGCCGAAGAAGCCGGAAGCGCAGCCTGCAACACATTGGACGGGCTGCCTCCGTGGATTGCACCAACCCAGAAAATGGCATTCAGGGGGTCAGGTGGGGACACCCCCACGGGAGGCCTGAATGGCCCAGTCCTGGCCCAGGGGCCGAGTGGGAGACAGCCCCATTCCAGGACCCCAGAGGAGGGGCTTCGTGGGGTTTCTTGATCTTGGCTTGGCACCCCTCGGACTCACGTCTCGCGCAATCGCTGCCCGTCCAGCCCGGCGGACAGTCGCAGGAGCCGTCCACAGGGTGGCAGATGGAGTGATTGGCACACTTGCAGGGCATGGAGCACTTCTTGCCATAACGGCCCGACTGGCAGGCTGCATTTGGGGTGGGGGGGGGGGCGAGGAGGGGAAGGGGATTGAAGTCAGTCTGGGGGCAGGGAGGGAGGGGACTGATGCCCGTTGCTTGCCCTTCACAGCCAAGACTGGCCCTCTAGAGGGGTTTTGGCAGCGGGGAGGGCAGTGCAGTTGGCAATCAGGCGGATTCCTCCCTCCCTCCCTGCCCGCCCCCCCCCCCCCCCCCCCAACGGGGGCCCGGGGCCCCCCGAGGGGGGGGGGGGGCCTGCCGCCCCCGCGAAGGTCACTTACGCCGTTGGCAGTTGGGCCCCCGGAAGCCTGGGGCGCACTCACAGATGCCATCCTTGGGGGAACAGCTGGCCCCATTCTTGCAGGAGCACATCTGGCGGCACTGCTCCCCCCACAGGCCCTCCGCACACGGCTGGCTGCAACGGGGCCCTAGGGAGAAGGGGAGGGTCCCAGGCCAGTTGCCCCCACGGCCCACGTCAGGGGCGCTGCAGGGGCTTCGGGCCTGAACCCACCTGGGCCAGCTCTGCCTGCCCGTCCTGGGATGGAAGCCCCCCCAGGTCAGCCCCAGCCCAGCCCCTGACCCGCTCCTGACCTTTCCATCCAGGCAGGCAGTGGCATCGTCCAGAGACGGGGTCACAACCAGCCGCGTTTTCACAGGAACACTTCCGGCCGCATCCCAGGCCGTAGAACCAGCCCTGGGCAGGAACAAAAGAGCAACGGTTGGCTGGCTGCCCCCCCCGCCCCCCCGCCCTTTCTACCGGTGAACTGACGGCTCTCGGTGGTCTCCTGCTTGAGCAGATGGGGGCCTGGAGTAAAAGACCCCCGGGGCCTCTTCTGCTCCGACTCCCCCCCTCGAGACCTGGGTCCTAGGCCCAAGACCCAGCCGGGCTGGCAACCAAGGTCTTTGCCCTCTTACCGGGCATGGCTGCGTGCACTGGCTGCCTTGCCACCCAGCCAGGCAGGTGCATCCTCCGTCCATGGGCTCACAGGTGGCTCCGTTGGCACAGAGGCAGGTTTGGTTGCAACCGGCCCCCCAGGTGCCTGCCGAGCAGGGGGCAGAACAGTCGACTCCCTGCCAGCCTGGAGGGGAGGAGAAGAGGCAGAGGGGGGGAGGGTCGCAGGAGGGGGACCTCATGGGCAGCAACTGGTGTGAGGGGTCGGGGTCCTTCCTTCTCTCGCACAAGCCGTTGGGATTCACAAAGGAAGGCATCGCCCATCCCTGCCTCTTATCTCCTCCCCGGAATGAGGGCCCACCTCGCCAGGTAGACCACCTGGGGACACAGCTACGGGAGCTATTTCAACCTTCGTGTAAAGCTCCAGGAACAGAATCGTGCAAAGCTGAGAGTACACTTCTCCCGAGAAGCCAGGGAGGGTCCCTTCTCTTTCTCTGCTCGGGATGCAGCTGCGGGCTCAGCCCCGCTTTGATCGGTCTGCTTCCTGGGCAGCACCGCTTTGCCCGCCTCCCAAGGTCTCCCCGGTCCCGGAGACGTCCTACCTTCCTTGCAGAAACAGGTCCCATCCACGGGAGAACAGCCCAAGGCGTTTTGGCAGCTGCACCCCTGAGAGCAGTTCACCCCAAAAGTGTCATCGGGGCAGGGGCTGGAGCAGTGCTTGTCCTGCCCAAGGTAAAAGCAGTCAGGCAGTCCCGCTGAGCCCCGGAGAGCGCCCCCCTCCAGCCTCTCACAGGTACTCACTGCGTAGCCAGGTGGGCAGCTGCAGCGCCCCGTCTCGCCATCACAAGTGCCCCCATTCAGGCACAGGCAGGGCTCCTGGCACCTGAGGCCATGGGATCCATGGGGACACGTCTCGTTGCAGTACAGGCCGGCCCACCCTGCCTTGCAGGCGCATTCTCCAGAGATGGGGTGACAGCTGTGGGGACAAGCCAAGAAACGATGCCGCCCAGGGGGCTTATCCCGAGGAGCCGGATTTCCCCGCTGGGACCACTCCCACCTATCCCACCCAGCAGGGAAGGGCAGGTGCCTCAAGGAAACCAGGGGGCCCCTGGACCGACCTCTGGGTGTGCTGAGGATCACAGAGACAAGGAAACTGGCAGCTGAGGCCGTACAGCCCAGGAAGGCATTTCCGCTCCTCGCAGTGGCTGCCATAGAACCCGGCTTCACACAAGCAGCCCCCGCTGATGTGAAAACAGTGGCCCCCGTTGGTGCAGTCACAGGTTTCGCGGCAGTCCTGGCCGTATTTGCCGATGGGACACTTCTCACGGCATCTTGGGGAGAAGAGGAGAGTGGAGAACGGAAAACAGCTGCAACATCTGCCCATGTCGGTCAACTGCCCTGTTGCCCTAGAATGCCAGTCCCAGAGCCTGGGTTGTGTCCACCCCAACGGGGGTGGGTGGGAGGGGACTCCTGCCACAGGCC